GGAGATGAAGAGAGCACTTCAAGGGGTGCAGAGCTGGGCCAAGCCTGGCTGCGAGCTCCCAAGCACCCCAGCACTCTGCCTCCCAGTCTGAGGAGCAGCCAGGAGCCAACAATGACAAAGCCGCCGTTTTCCAAGCAGGCCAAGAAGGTCAACGACCTCACTCTCAAGGTCATTTCTTCTCCCTCTGCCCACTGCACCCCCAGTAAGCTGTGATGCAGGTTCCATTTTTAGCCTTCTTAGACGGACATGGAAAGAGACGCACAGAGAACTCAATACTCTTGCCCAAAGACACACAGTGGTCCACAAACCCCACAGTCATGCATTCCAGCTGCCTGCAGAGCATGGGCCAAAATTGTTTTCCTGGGGTCCATGGCCTTCCCAGGAGCCTGAGAAGGGAACAGCAGAAGCTGAGGCAACACAATGGCCAGGAAAACAAATGGTGAGCTCTCACGGGGGTGGGCTTCAAACGCGCAGAGGCCAGGAGCAGGCAGCTGTGAGGGGTACCACGACCAGGGCAGAGAAACCATGGCCCAGAGCCACTTCCTGACCCCACACACATGGACGGAGCCAGCCTGTGAGACTAACTCTCAGGACAGGGAACTGAAGAAGGAAGTGGGCCGCTGTACTGATGGGCGACGTGGTGCTTGGCTTCTAAGTTCTGAGCTGTCAACACCTCAGAGCCATTACAGCTCCACCCTGAGCTTGACCTGGCAGGGTGGCCCTGGGCAGGAAGAGCCCTGACGAAAGGGGAGGAGGGAGCCCTGTGTGCTCCCTTGCTGATGGAGGGATAAGGCGCTCTGCAAGCAAAAACCTTGGAGATGCCACAAAGAACAGGCGAAGGCCAGGACTCATTGTTAGCACACGATTTGTTCCACTAATCCTGGCCGAGCTCTGTATCTCCGTCACGCTAGTGACTGACAGAGTGATCTGCCGCCGCCCTGACAAGACGGCAACGCCCAACGCCCTTGTGCGCAGGGCTTACAGGAGCCGGCCAGCTCTCCTTCTACGGCACCTCTACAAGGGGTGAGGAGCTGCTGCGTCTGGCTGGCCCTGGGGTCTCATGGGGTCACTTTGGCCTTCCTCCTGTTATGACTACTGACAAGGTGTGCCTGGTGGCCCCCCAGAGAGCACAGATGCCTGTGTGCAGAGGGAAACCCAAAGACTCCTGAGGAACGGCTGAAGGAGCGTAAGGCGTGTGGGGCTGGATGAGGGCAGGCCTCTTTCCTGCTTCCAACAGGACTAAAATTTCCACTGGAACTTTCCACCCAGACCAGGCATGCTCGAGCCACAGGTGTTGGACACCAGGGCCGTGATTTTAGTTCTGCTGGTGACCAGTTCTGGTGACAGACAGCACCATGGCTGTCCATCAGCTCCAAGCCGGCCTTCCTCCTGTCCTTTTAAGAGTCCTGGGACCGCAACCCCGGCAACAGGGGACGGGGGGTGGTACTTAATATAGGCGCATCAAGAAAACGGGCTGGAAGAAAATGGAAAAAGGCCAGAAAGAGGGTGGGCTGCAGGTCGCACGGTAAAGTCCCAACACTGGCCAGCCCAGCTGCACCCTCTGCAGCCAGTTTGCTTTGCTGTATTTGGGAAGACAAAAATGGCTACAGCCCTGTTTCCGAGATGCTCCTGCTGGTCTGTTATAGGAGGCTCGGCGGCAGCACTGAACCCTTGGTGGTGGCTGACGACCCATGGTGTGGGGTGGGGCCCTGGTCATAGCCACAGGCAGAAGACACCACGCACACCGAAGCGTGCCAGGCCGGCCTGTGAGTGACATCAGACTTCCTAGGTGGCGGTGCTCACATCTGGCTGCCGTGGAGCTCCAATCTGGCTGCCACTCGTGGGCGGTGGGCTACTCCAGGGTCTGCAGAAACCTGCCTTCCTGCCTTTTCACTCAACTTCCTGGTCAACGAACAGCTAGGAATCCACTGCTGATAATATCAAAGCCAACCAAGGTAGAACAGATAGCTCGTGGATGAAGAAGAGCCAACAAGTTGAAACACCCCAAGTATGTACAAATATAACCAGGCACCTAGAATACAAACGCACGAGAAACACACCGCAAACAGCAAACGGCACGAACATCAACTCTCGCAAGAGAGCAGCAGGACAGCAGCCTGAGCATCCCTGCTGCTCCCGCTCAGGCAGAAGCACCAAGTCAATCGAAGGACAAAACCAAGATGTATTCACACTGCTCGTGCCGGGAATGACCGGCGCGGCCAGATTGAGAGATCACAGCCTCCTGGGTGGGCCGAGAAAAGAGAGGTGCCCACCATGTGGTTCGAGTTTCCACACCTGGGCTAATGTGGGTCCGTGGTGCTTTTATTAAATGTAAACATTACCTTCTTGGGAACATGACTCAGGCTGGCAAGCCCTCCAGCATGTACAGGGGTACCAGGAGAAGATTTTGGAGCATTACCATAGAGACGCCATGTACTTCCTGCTGGTTCCAACGTATCCTGATCTGGCGGTTGGTTGTATGGAGCCTGCCTTCCAAGTGGCATCTGCAGTCTACCAGGGCGCCTGGGACCCACCCTTGCCCCCGACACACCGCTTTCGGGGGGTTAGAGCTATGATGGTACACTGTGCAATAAAGCACGAGGATGCAAACTACTGCTCTGGGATAGATTATTTGACGAAAAAATGTATTTGCTGGCAGACTTCCGACTCCACAGACGTCCTTGGCACTGGCTCGCTGCCATGTAGGAAATAAAACTCAATATCCTTTGGTCTGCAAAACAGGGTTAACAATCACACTCCAAACTACTCAAATAATATCCCTCACCTCACACCCAAATAACAGTGGACATTTTTGTTAGAAGGCAGTGCAAAATAAATAGGGAACAAAAAGGAAAACAAAGCAATTTTACAGGTCCTCCTCCAGGAAAACCTCTCCCGACTTGGACGAGGAGATAATCTTCCTGTGATTATGACCAAACCCTCGGGTTGCTTAGCAACACATAATTAAGGAAGATGTTTTCAGACCTGCTTTGCAAGCCCGGCCATTATCAGATGAAATTACTGGAGCAACAAATGTCATCACCATGCAAATGAGCTGCCTGCAAAGAAAGAATGTTTCACTCACGAGGGAGAAGTCACAGGCTCTCAGAAAAATTATCTGACTTTCTTCCCATCGTGCGTTGACTAAAAAAATAAGCTAATAAATTGTATGATCAGACTTTTAAAGAATCCATACGTAAGACAAAACCAAGATTTATAGAGAAATGGCAGAAAAATCCAGCCAGCTCATCTCCCCTTTGGAAATAAAATGTGCATGATGTCGGTCAAATTCACCAAGACACAACCGACATTTCAGCCTAACAGTGAAGTCATCAGTTGCTCCCGCCGTTTTCCCAACTAAACTTACTGCTCTGTCTCAGGAGTGACGGAACCATCCTCCCAATACCCCACCCAGAGCTGTGTCAGGGCGGCATTCCAAATGGTAGATCTCATTTTAAAAAAAAAAAAAAAACTTGATTTTTACCCCACCCATTCCCAGCACATAATGTTGGTTACTTGGGGGGAAAAAAATCACTTACAAACTATTGAATTTTCTAAAATAGTACGCTGGGGAGGCAAGGGGGGAAAAAGAAAGGAAGTTTGTTTGAAAGGAAAAAAAAAATTACATTTTTAAGTCTTTAGTAAAGATTCTAGAGCAAAAATTAAAAAATAACGAATTCGAACGTTGTTCAGAGGCTGTGTGCCTAGGAGTCTCCCCACAACATCCCAGGAAACACATACAATAAATGCATTTGGCTCGTGCTCTGAAGAAAACTACCTAGCATCTTATATATTCTTCCCTACGACCAAGCAGAACTCCCAACTGTATTTTCCAATGAGAGGCTAAATCTGTTTTTGAAATATGGAGTTATAAGGGATTTCAACACCTTGCTTTGTTTAACACACAACTACGGACGCACACACATTTTTCTCTCTATGGCGGTTAATCATGGCCTTCAATATTGAGTGCAGACTTCTCCTTGAAGGGCTGCCTACTGTATGAAGCACTGTTAATGATACATGTACACGCACAACTTACGGGACGCATTTGATAAAGTAGTCCTGCCTTTTCCAAAGCCGCCTGAGGAACATGGAAGACAGAAAATGCTCCCACCCCCCTCCTGAGTGGAAGGTTTCCATCTGTTCTGACGTCTGAGTCTCCCCCAGAAACACAACTGTGTTTCACCACTGTAAAGGGAACCCCACAAATCAACCTGAGCTCAGCTGGGTGGCGCTCTGGTCTTCAGTTCTGAATAAAGAACAGAAAGGACCATTGGCCTCATGACTCGCCTGACACTCATACCTTTTTATCCCAAGAGAACTGGCATCAATCTGCTCACCTGGAAGCCACGGTGATGACAGCCTTCTCGTGTGATGTGTATGTGCAGGTGCATTTGTGGGACGGGGTTTGTGGATGGGTATGTTGTGTGTATAGTGGGTGTTGTGTCTGTTGGGGTGTGTTATGTGCTGGGGGGGTTATGTGTGTATGAAGGGTGGATAGGGTGGGTGTTGTGTATATAATGTGTGCGTGTGGTATATGTATATGGGCACGGGTGTATCTGGTCTCTCCAGGCTTAAGACAAATTCACATAAATTTGAGGACCACCTTCTCTAGAGCAAAGCTCTCAGACCGTCCTACCCTCAAACCTCCGCCCCATGGTGCCTGCACACCCCGCACCAGGAAAGGGGGGACGCGTTACTTGGTTCCGGCGTGAGCACGGTGGAGACGATGATCGGTGTGCCTGTCCGCCGAGCCACCTTCTGGTAGGGTGCGTGCGGGGTGTGCAGGCGCTGGCTGGCAGGTGGCAGCGCAGGCGGCTCCGCGGGGACACCAGGCTTCCGCAGGAGCTGGGGGCTTCCGTGGGGGCTGGGCAGTGGGGACGCGGCCACACCGCGCTCACGCTTCAGCAGCTCCATGGGCACGGTGTAAGCTGTGGAGTAGGCTGTCCTGGGGCCTGGGTTAGTCAAGGCTACCCCAGCCCGTGGTGGGTACGTGGGCCCCAGCCGTGCCGTCAGGGCACAAGGGGTGGGAGAGCCGTACCCAGAATTGGAGGGGAGATGGGGCGCTTGGGTGCCCACCCCAGGGGCAGAGTAGGTAGCTGCTCTCTCCAGGAGGTGCTGGGATGGCGCACTCGAAGGGCGGCGGGCCAGGTCTCCGACTCGGGGGGACGCTGTCTGCAGGGGCCCCCGAGGCTGGGGCGGCAGGGCCCCAGCTCCCAGAGAGGCAAAGTCGCTATGGAGCAGCTCGCCGCGGTGGCTGAAGCTGCTGGAGCGTGCCCGCGGCAGGGGGCCCACCCGCTCCTGCCTCCGCAGCTGCGTCTCAGCCCGGCAGCTGCTGGCCAGGCGGCTCAGGACTCGTGCCTGGCCCAGGTTGGGTGCGACGGCCTTGATGTCCGCATCCTCCATGGTGGCCAGGATGGCTGGGCAATCAAAGCCTTGCTGCAGCAGGGTGGCCAGTGTGCCCTCCGCCACACCCTCGGCCCGCAGCAAGGCCAGGAACTCCGGCAGCACATTCCTTTTGCTGCTGGGTGCCTGGAGAGTGGGCAGGTCCGCTTCGTAATTCTCATAAGCCATCTTGGGGTGGACGCTTTCCCGGGATGGGCCATAGCCGCGATTCAGGGCACCGGGGGCTGCCCCTGGGCCACCACCGGAGGCAGTGGCTGTGCTGGGGTCCACCACCAGGCACGTCGGGGCTGCCTGCCTGGCAGGAGCAGAATCCCCAGGCCTTTCGCTGACATCGTTGTAGATGTGGTTGGTGGGGTAGGCACCCACCTCCGCCCCATGCCTGGCATCGGGCAGCTCCACTCCAAATCGCACAGGAGATGGGTTCCGGCTCTGTACCCACTGCCCCGGAGGGATCATTTTACCTCCAGGATCCCGATACAGGTGACCAGCGTCCTGCAGGCCTGGGAACCGGCCTGGCACTTGATCCCATGCCACTCTGCTGCCCAGCACCCCATAACCAGGCACCGGTTGGCTCACTCCAGGGTCCCTGAAGTAGTGAGGCTCCTTGGGCACCCTAGCAGCAACGGAAGGGTCGCCGAAGTAGTCCCGCGGCGGCAGGGAAGGGCGGGCAGACATTACTGCCTGCCTGGTGTCGTAGAAGGCGAAGTTGGGCACGGAGCCCTTCCGCCCGGCGAGCGTGTTATAAAAGGCCTCCTCCTGGTACCGGCAGGGCTCGCGGGCCAGCGCGGCGGCCCCGGGCACGCTGGCGCTCTGCGCTCTGTGGTCCAGCTGCTCATACCACGCTCCCTCTCCTCCGTACGTCAGAGAACCTCTCCTCCCCGGCGGCCTGGGCTCCTCGGCGCTCTCCCAGGGGCCTTGGTACCACCCGGCAGCGTCCCAGCTCTGAGAACACCCAATACCTACAGGCCTGCTTGGAACCAGCATTGGAAAAAGATGAGTGAGAGGCAGCAGAAGGAAGCCTTTCTTTATTAATCTTCAGTTACATACATCCGGAACAGCCCTGCTGCATCCTAACCCTCCCGGGACAGTGGGACCAACCAGCTGAGGGTTTCCTATTTCGAAGTACGGCCTAAATTATTAATCTTCCGAAACCTTAGTAGACAAAACACAACACTCACAGTAACTTTGCCTCGCTCCGCAATGACAGCCTAAAGTCTCCTCTTTGTGGCTCAGTCCCAGAAAGGGGGGCTGCACGCAGGCCAGGCGGCTCCCCCTCCCTGCCTGGTCTGTGCACATGGACCTTGGTGCTCTCAGCGTGCGGATTAAGAGCTAAATAAAACCTCTACAGCTTTTGTTCCATGTGACACTGCGTTAGGCTGATGAAACCACCTGCCTACTCCATCCAGGCCTCCCAATTTGTGCCTGGGAAGTATTTTCGCCCTGCAAACTCCGGCTTTATCTCCCTCTTCCTCACCAGGTACTTTCAGGATGAGCCCCCTCCCCCACACTGCCCAACAGTGACAGCAGGGAAGAAAAACAGCCTCCATGTCAATTCCGTCCTAATCCACCCTGATGAAACGTTAATCCATTGCACACAGCAAAGAATAAATGAAATGAGAATGGGCAGGCGGGGGGAGAAGGAAAAGTCTCAGGCAGGGTTCTAGAGCTTGGGGTATCCCGAGAAATGGGCCAGGCTGGCCCGAGGCTCCGCAGATGGTGGATCTGCCTTGGAGAAGACTTTATGCTTATAAATTCAAATGAGTAATGTTGCCAAAGTCCAAACGCATTCTTTACCACCTTATCGTAAAACACAGATCCTTTCATGCAGCCAGAAAAAAACACAAACCCAACCCCCTGCGTAATCTGGGCTTTATCATTATTAGATGGCGAAGAGGTCACGGGAAAGGAGGATCACTGCTAACCCCTAAAAATCTGGGGGTGGGAAGCAGCTGTGCCTGAGACCTGCTTCCCTTTAACCATGTCTGAGAGGAAAGGATAATTCAGCAGACACGGCCTGGCTTAGACCTTGGAGGTGAGCTTCCATATTCATATGGGTTAGGCTTCTGCAGAGTCCACAGGGACTTTAGACGCAGTAACAAAAAGAACAGCAGTTACTTAGATAAATGTCCCAAATAGGAGCATTCAAGAATCTCCTGAAGCCCACAGAACATTCCAGAGAAGCATCACCGTAGCAACCACAGGGTCCTAAGATGCAGAATTTACAACAGAAAATCTGGTAATCGGAATGCTACAAAGATATTGTACATTTCAAATATTTTAAAGGGACATAATATGCATATTTGCAGCCATTAAACCTAAGAATGTTTTGTCTTCTCTCACATCTCTCTCAATCCAAAATTCAGCTAGAATCTTCAACTAGAGAGAAATACTGATCATCGGAAAAAAAAAAAAGTAAATAGTGAAGATTTACTGTGAGGGAGGAAAATGGTTCAGTTCTATTTCCAGGAAGTGATGCTGAACAGTAATGAGGACGAGGTACAAGGACAGCACCGTCCCCGCCCCGTGTCCCACCCACTACATATTAAATGCTGGGAGGAGCTGTATTCAATGAGGACTTCTCTCCAGGGAGGCAGGGTTTCCATGACCACCGATCACCTGGGGAGGGCAGGGATGTAGCCCCGGTGACCCCAACCCATCATCCAACACTGTCCCCCTATTTCTGACCCAAATGTGATAAGGCCCCGAGTTATGGGAAATCGTGACAGCAGGCTGTGAAGAGAGGCGGAGGGAACACCGCAGGCCGATGTACAAGTCAACCTTTATACCTCTGCGCCTGTGGATATGCTCCCTTACCAGATACACCTTAAAAGGACAGGAAAATGTTACAAAGCCCAGCACTGGATGGACACGGCAGGTACACACACAGATCATGGCCCAGCGAGCTGCATCGGCCCAGCGTCCCCTCTTCTCAGCGCTACTCAGGTCCAGGCAGGCCTTCCTCCCCTGTTGAGAGGAGAGGGCAGACAGAGATGGCCCGGGAGAGACAGGTTGGCGTAGAAAAGAGCGTGGCGGCCCCAGCAGGACACACCTAGGGCCAAAGCCGAGAAAATATGCAACCAGGTGCTTTCTAGCAGTCCCCAGCCCACATGTGCTTCCAGTCTTGGTGTGCCCAACCCCAAAGCTGACACTCCACTTTCCCGAATTCCCTGCTGCGTGGGGAAACACCCACTGTCAGGGGCCGTGAGGGGAGCTTACTTTATTTTCTGAGTTTCTCTAAGGGTTTCCAAAACGCAAATATATCAGTTATTATCACTTATAAAATTATTACTTGTGTATCGGAAAGTAACTCCTAAATATATGGTGGTCCAATACCTCAAAACGGGTGCAGCATGCTTTTGTCAGAGCCAAGATCCCAGCCATCAGGCGGCATCTGCCCGAGACCGCAGTATGTAAGCCACCGTGTCGTTTCCTTTTCCTGCACTCTCTCCTTTTTTTAAAAAACAGAAACCACAAAATTGTGCGGCATCAACGCTATGAGACCCCACACATGGCACAGATGCGCTCCTTCAGATACGCGGGTGGATCCGAGGCTGGCTGGGGGAACGGTCTGTGCGGGAGGTTCCTGTCACAGCGGGTGAATCTCGATGACTCACCCAGCTCACCAGTATTTATTTTCTCAGCTCAAGTTCTCAAATGGAGAGAAGGACGATATAGAAGAATGTTGACCCAATAGCCCACCAGGAACCACTGGAGCTCCTCAGACAAAACTGTAAGAAGACCCCTCACCCTCCGCGTGAAGGTGTAATGCCAGGGACAGGGCAGCAGTGGGCAGATGAGCTTCAGGGGCGGGTGTGGCCCTCTGCATGTGACAGAGAGGAGGCCGCGGTTCCCTTCCATCAACTTGCAGCCCGTTCTGCTCGAAGCCACCCAGACTCCCACAGCCTCTGCTCTGCAACCCGTCAAATACTGTGACAGACGTGTTCCTGTGGCAGGTGAAAACACCAGTTAGCTGTGTAACTGGACTCACACTTTTCCAAACATTCTGACAGACTTTTTTTTAAAACCACATTGCAATCTTTTAGAAAGGTCTGTGTTTCTAAAAACCTCCTATCGACTAAAAAGAGCTGGAACCAGTTTCTGAAAGAGTAATGAGTCCCACCGCCTTACCTTTTCAATCCTGCAAAGTCCCACGCTGCAGAAGATGGCACGATATAAAGAGATTGTATATATTTTTTTAAAATTCTGAAAATTAAGGGGAGGGGGAAAGAAAAGACAACCCAAACTCCTGCAGACAAAATATCCCAAGTGAAAGCCCATCACACAGGAGACCCGTAACGGTGATGCAGGGTTAGAAGCGACTCCCCCAAAGCCACTTCCTGAGTTCCAGAGACCCAACAGCTCTGATGGATCTGGCCAGTTTCAGAAGAGCAGGGGAGAGATGCCAGGATGGGGACAATCTGGGGTCCCTACGGTCCATCAGTCCTCGGGCAAATCACCAACTAGCACTTCGGGAGCTAATCTGTATCAGTAAATAACCTGGGAAACCGCTTGACACTGCTCTGGGGGGCTAATCCTCACTGACGATCAAGGTCAGGTATACACTGGCGGGAGCGGTGAGTTGAAAGGCTGGGCTCCTCAGAAGGGCCACTTGGTCTAACTGCCTGCTCCCTGGTAGCTGCCAGCATGGTGGATCAAGATGCCCCCAGGTGGACAGACCATTCTCAGGAGGTAGCGTGTCCCACCTCTAGAGCAGGGACTTAGGACGCCTTCCTCCCGGCACTGGGAGTTCACTCCACTCGTCCTCCTCAGCTGCCACCAGACCACACCCGCCTGAAAGGGAAGGCAAAACTCAGAAAGTCATCTGGGATGCCCGTCTGTGCCTGCTGCGATCCTGTGTGAAGACGCTCCGAGGCCGCCGCCGTGCCTCCTTCGTCAGCGTCTCTCCGGTCACACCACTGAGGTTAGCGGGTTACACACGGCTTTCTGGCAGAGACAGGGCCAAAAATAGTCCAATGACATAACCACTTCCTACTTCTACATGGGCGCAGACGGGGTTGGGTTTTTGGTTTGTTTCTGTCAAGTGTTCTAGAATTTGTTTAAACACAGCGTTTCGCCTTTTAAGAAAATGTCTTTCCTTCTTCCCCTCCTCCCTCCATACGCTCTACTTCAAACTTACTCAGTTAATCTAACTCAGCGAGGGGAAAACCCACACTGCACTGTAAACCAGCATACAGGAAGTCTGGAAGGGGCTGCGCCTTTGTCGAAATAACACAAGCACAAGAAGAAAACTAGCAGAATTATCCAGACATCACTTTCAGTCTTCAAAGGAATGATGAAGCACTGGGCGTTCTTAGATTCACGCCGTGGCCTTTTCCTGACTTCTGAGCAGAGGCTCTGGAGCATCCACACCCCACCGGGAAACACTGTCCAGTTGGGGCCTTGCATCCGAACCAACTCTTTCGAGACTAGCCGCACACTAAACGGTTGCAGCCCTCTTGCAACTCAATATTTAGCCATTTCAAGTGGAAACAAAGGCTCACACCATGCTCATGGTTAATTTGCTAATTACACTATAAAACTTTTACCGAGAATCTCGTTGTAAGAATGAGGCTGTCTACACACCTGGTATTGGGTAAAGCACCCATGGGTCTTTCGTGGTGCACTTTTAACACACTGTGAAGCAGTGGACCTCAGGGACCTGGGCAAGCTGTGGGCGTTTGAGTCTCAGGCTTCTCACTTTTAACACTGAGGGAAAAAAACGACCTTGGAAGGCTGTTCTGGGGCTTGAAAGAGATCAAGAACACAAGAGAACTAAATACCCCCTCAAAAACCTTCATTAAGGACTCCTCCCCCCAAACCTAGGTGTCATAGGTATGCGGGCCCCGGCTTACCTCCACACTGCCACCCCTCATCCCATTTCCCTCCATCATTTTAGGTCTCCTTATCTGTACTGGGCTCAAATATTCCAGAACTTCGTTCCCCTCATTTTTGTTTGCGATGCCCTAACTGTCCCCATCCATTGGGGTCTCGCTCAAAGAACTCTCCTCCACAAAGCCACCCTCCATCACCTCATCCCTAGTCCAAAGAAATCTGCCACCTATTGAGATGAGAGAAGAACATCGTAAAATAATCCAGTACACACCCAAAAGAAGCGAAAGCAGGAACGCACACAGAAACCCGTACGCCCCTGTTCACAGCAGCACTATTCAACGGCCAAGAAGTGGAAACCACCACCATGTCCGTCAACAGATGAATGAATAAGCAAAACATGGTGCAGATGTACAATGGGATATGACTCAGACGAGAAAGGAAGTTCTGACACATGCTACAACATGGATGAACCTTGAGCAGGTGACAGAGTGAAAGGAGGCCTTTCTGGAGACAAGACAGCGAGCCAGGTGCCTGAGCTCTGCGATCAAGAGTCCCTCTGACAGAGAGCTAGTAGTAGTAGTCCGTCTTGCAGGGGACTCAGGAATAATAGTTTAGTGAACTGAGGATAAATCACTCAGAAACCGGGGTCTCAGTCGCTGGGTAACACCAGCAGGTGCGAAGAAAGGAATGAGGGAAAGAAGGTGGCAGCCACGTGTGTCCTGAGGTTTCGGTTTCACAGGCATCCCAGATACTTGTCAATGACACTGGGCTGTGTTAGAGCATTCCCTGGTTCTGTGTGGGCCTCTCACTGTAAGCAGGACTGTGGCGCTTCTAGACCAGAATTACTCCGCGCCCCTTGCACCTAATCTAATGAAGAAGAGTTTGTCTAGGTGCATTGGGACCCTGGCTCTTAGGAGGTTTTTGTTAAGTGTGAAAGCAGAACACACCTCCTTCAAAGGCACAGCGACCAAAAGGAAATGCACCAGGCAGAAAAGCATTCTGGTAAGTAAACCTGGCGGTTCCACTTGAAAACAGTAGCAGGATGTCAACAGCGGCAGAGGCCGGGCACCGCCAGCCAGTGTGCAAGAGCACGGTCCACTGTAGTGGGGGGAAAACGCTGGAAGAACCAGCCACAGAACAAACCAGAAGGTACTGATGAGCCTCCCAAGACCTAACTGTCGACTCTAAGCACACCACACCTCTCAATCTCCAACACCCTGACCTCTGAGCACACCACAGACCCCAATCTCCAACACCGAGACCTCTAAGCACACCACAGACCCCAATCTCCAACACCAAGACCAAGCCACCAGAACACACTGCCTTTAGAAATGTGGCAAATTGAAGGAAATCTGCCAACTGCAGCAAAG